CTTGTTTTCTGTTTTCATTTCTCATCTCTTATTTCTACATATGTCCATTTCTTTCTCATAACCAGGATTGCCACAGTCTGTTCTCATTTGTATCTTAGAGTATATAAGTAGTCCTTCTTACACTTGTACCCCCCCTAGAGGGAGATACATACAGAGAATAGATAACAATACATACATATACATAGAGAATATAGACAACAGACATACAACAATCAATGCATACTTTGCCAGAAATAATTTAGCCATATTTTCTTTCCCCCTCTTTTGCATATTTTGCCCCTTAGTGACTCCTTGCATACTTTGCACTCATTCCTCAGAAACCTTGCATATTTTGCACATTATCCTTTGACCACTTCTGCATATTTTGCTCACACCCTCTGAACCTTAATCCTCACTCCACAATCCTCCTTCCTCATCACTCCTCATTCACTCAGTGGTATTATCACTAGACCTTGATAACACCTCCCTGTCCTAGAACTCACTAAGAATTACTAGAATCCAAGCCACACCTTTCTTCTTTTTCTTAGTGTAACTCTTCCCAACTCCAGCATTGTACAGGAGGGCAGCCTCAGCAGCACCCATAGTCTCAATTTACATTATTTGTAGTGTAGTTGTCTATTTCCCCTCCAAGCTCTGTTTCTGATTGTTCAGCAGTTCCACATCGCGAGCAAGCCGACGATGGCAAACCCAGATGATGATGGCGACATGACCACATCGGTCGACCAACGTGTTTGACGAAGGGTCAGCTCAACCAATAGGCTGACAAAAAAAAACAAATTCAAAATTTGTTTTGTGGTCTCTCTCAATGATTAAAAAGAGGCTACACAGGTTCAAAATTTTGAAAAAAAAAAGAAAAAAGAAAAAAAACTTCAACGGAATGAGAAGATTTCCAAAGAAATTGTAAGGAAATGGTGGGACTTGATCTCAAAGAGAAGGGGATTGGGGAAGGTGCATTGGTGAAGTAGTTAGTGTGTGCCTTGGTACTTATGGAGTGTCCAGATCATGGCATGCTGGGTTCGAATGCCCCAAGAGCCGCTTTTTAGGAGCACAAGTCAAGCTCGCTCCTTTTTGGCCAACAGATATCTGACCACCGGACCTCTGCCAACGTGCAGGTCGGAATAATGGTATTCGAATCAGATGCCGATGTCAAGCCAGCGTCGGAAGTCAAGCCAACAACATCCCTCGCCGTGAGGCCTGCGTCACAGGTCAAGCCAACAGCGGGTTCCGATCCTTCCCGCTGTGCGCAGAGCCATTTTTTGGGGCGGGGTCGCACGAGTTGGCTTAACCAAATCAACAACGACGAGCCGATGTGGCTCGGAACCTGTGGTGTACAGTTGCGTATGGCATAGACCGACCATGCCCCGCCCGCAAAATCCAATTTGGACACGCGGGGCCTATGCCCCGTGGGGCATGTGCCCCGACACTTAATTTTATTACAATTTTGAACTCCTACAGATGTGTAGAGTTCAAAATTGTAAACACTAAGCTTTTGAGTGAGCGGTTCAATTTTTTTTTTCATTTCCACATACAGATAATCGGACAATCACAGATTAAGCAATACTTAAACCCATAGTTATGGCTTTAAGTTATAAATAATCATGGCTTTATACTACTTGTACACCCTTGACATCTACTTTCACTGTTAATCTTCTATTCTAGTGTATTTTTTCTACAATCTGGAGGCTACAAACAGCTCAAAAGGCTGAAAATTTCAAAAAAAATCTGAATTTTCGGCTCGACCATTCGGACATCCTCAAAATCCAGGGTCGGTTTT